AGGAAGATACTTGCACAAGAAACAATTGTTTAACTTATCAGTGTTTAACTCTGAAACGAAAAAAAAAAAGAGAATTCAAATTTGTAAAAATTAAGAAGATTATTTGAAAATTGTTAACTTTTGAAAATCTAATTAAATTGAATCCTATAGCCACGTTATTTTGATTTAAACGTTTACTATACAATGATCCCTCTTGTGGCGACCACTTTCAAAGGTGAAAAATTTCTACTGAGCATCACCTTTATAAGCTACCACCTTCACTTAAGACCAAAATAAATTACAAACGTGATGGTCGTCTTAGAAAGGATTCAATTTTTACAAGCATTGATTAAAAACATTTACACACAATGAACCATCTTGCTGAGACCATTTCTCCAAGATGACCACTTCAAAAAGGGACCAATATTTCTAAAAGTGTGAACAAACACTTATCATCTATCTTAAATGATAACGTCCACCGAAGACCAAAATCAATTTGATCAAAAAAATTTCATTCTGAAGTAAGTCGTGATTTGTGAAAAACTTCGATATTTATAATTTCTGTACCCATGTCTCACATTAGAGTTACAAATAAGCAGTAAAATGATTGTATAGTCGATAGACTCGCTGACTGCCGTACCGAAGGGCTCGGGTTCGAATCCCGGAAAGGCATAGATGTTTGTAAATCTATAGTGTCGGTGCGGCATGGCTGCGCTTTAAATATGAGGCGAGCCGAATTGCCTCTCGTGTGGTTTGCTGGAAAAGAAGAGAGCTGGGAGACCCTCGGACACGTCCGCCCCGGGTGTTCACCAAAACATTGAGGGCGGAACTGCGCGAAATCGTACTGTCACTTGTTAGGTCCTCAAGGCTGTTGCCAACGACAGGCGTAATTTAGCGAACCTCGCTACGAGGAAGTTCATGGGCTTGGACTGACTACGCCAGACAAGTGAGCATAATCAACAGCAACAATAATATATGCTTATATATAACAACTATATACAGTGTCCTTTTTACTTCCTTGTACGAAGTAAAGGAAGTATTGTAATCACGAAAAATTCCAGGTTACCATATTTCAACAAAACTATTTATTTTGACCGCTATCGAATGCAATTTAACGATGTTTTTAGTGGTATCTGTACGTAAAGACGGAATAAAGAACCCTTTCTCCCAAAATGATTTATAAACTGTTTTAAAATGGATTCAGAAGAGACTTTTTCTTGGCGTCTGTACGTACGTATGTAAGTATATATGTATCTCGCATAACTCAGAAACGAATAATCTCAGAACGTTCAAATTTCGTATGCGGGACTAGTATAACATGTAGATGTGCACCTTCGTTTTTGGTTGCAATCGGCCACACCAAAGTATATATATATATATATGTCCACTCTGTTACTCGGCTTCATGTGTTCAGATTTTTTATTGTTATATGCTACTAAATTGTGCATTTTTTTGCTTTAAAAATGATTGAATTATATTGTTCTTATCTTCCGGTTAAGGTTTTTATGCCTTTAGTTTCCTACATGATATAGTTGTAGAATTATCAGCAATTTAAAAGATGTTCAAGTGCCGCTAAGCCAGTTTTTTTTAACCATAGCAGCCATATTTGTTTACATTTGAAACTTAGCTGAATAGTGGATTTGTTGACAATCTAGAGAAACTGAGCTTCACAACAACAAAAGACAACGTCTTCTTGTATTATTGCGAATTAAATCATGCTTAATTCCTTCTGGAATTATCATTTAATTTATTAAATTATTCTTTATATTGACTCAGCATAGCGTTCACAACAAATTAAAAGTCAGTTTCTACGCTTTCAGTGTCTTTCTGCCGAGTGGGATCAAGTTTAGTTTTGTGCACCGAAAAATCTGCCTTTTTGCCTGCAGGCCGAATTGCTTGTTTTTGCACAGAAACTCTAATTTTAATTGAAAAAGTTGTTTTTTTAATTATTTTAACTGTATTTGGTGCTTTATGTTTTCTATATCTTTCAACTTTTAATGAAGATATTTTGAGTTTTATGCATTTTTGCCTTGCCGTGTAGTGAGAACTGAAATAATTGAATGAGGAATATATCTCTAACGAAATTCGAGGATATAAGTGTTTCGTATTAGCAGCAAATATTATCGCCAGGAAAATGTTTAGAGTAGCGCATGAACATTAGGTAAGCGGCGCTGAATCGTTTGTAAAAAACTTTAGTTTTTGGTTTGTTTCATTTCTTTTATACATCGTTTTAGATTTATCATATATAGTATTTGAATAGAACATGTGGAAAAGATTTGATAATTCTTCAAATGATGTAACTTTTGTGCCTTCTGACTTAAAAATTGAATGAGATGATTAAATGAACGCTATTAAATGAACTATAACCAGAGTCGCTACGGTAAATAAATATAGTGAAATTTAAAGACTGCATTTATTCTATTATGGTTTATGCGCTACCGACGAAGTAGAATTCAATAAGTTTAAATGAAATGCAGGAGAAAACTGCGTATAATTTAATATTCCGTACAAGGAAAGCATGTGGTGTACAGATCAGATTTTTTTTATTAGTATGAAAACCAATAACCTTAACTTTCTCACTATTTGAAACCTGACATTAGAAGTAATAAGCACTGAAACAACATCTTGTTTCTTTTTCTACGGGGAATAGTAAGTTCTCTTCCATTAATATCGGTATAATCGATTTATTTATGGAAGAGGACATGTATCGAGGACGTAGTTTTCGATTTATGAGGTCTTAGAGCTCCCATTTATTATTAAATTAAAAAAATATATATACATATATATCATAAGGATTACGTTAATTTTATTAGCAGTTAAATTTTAAGTTAAAGTTCCTTTCCTGTCAAATTCTTAACTTCAACTTACTATTTCCGGCCAGAACGTAGTTTTGGAATCTTGCTGAATATTTAATGAGGAGGAGCGGTAATTAAACCACGAAGTTACTTACAGAGTCAGAGACAATCAGAGTTTCTGATTTACGCGTGCCTGCCCTTTTGGCCACTCTCTCTCTCTCAAAGCTGTTATTACGCTTGGCCGTACTCAGGCTCTTGCTAAGCTTCGTAGTCAAATAAGTTAAGGGGCCAACTCGATTTGAATCGTGATAGTTTCGGCTATATTTCCTTAGTTAATCTTAGTTTTAGTTTAATTCTTAGTCTTTTAAATTCAATCCCAAGTGTCGGCTTTGTTTGTACACTCCCATGCGGAGTTTTGTTAAATCTTATTGGAATAATAAAGGGTTAGTTACCCTTCTATCTTGTTGTTTATTATCACACGAACTTAAGCAATTATTCGCTATCTAGTTCTTAAGACTTGTCACAATCTACAGTAATTGAGATTTACACATTGAAAGTCTTACAATATAAGCAGCACCAAAGGTAGTTCATTTTTCAAAAGAAAGTAAGAAAGTCTGAAAGGATTTAGATTTTGACGTCACACTGGGGGATTTCTTTAGATTTGTATGTTCTTATTGTGTTTGCACTCTGATCATGGACTCATTCCTAATGACATATTTGTTTTTACCTTTCTAATTTTATTATTAAAAACCGCTTTTTTTAACAAATATCCCACATAAAATTCAACAGCAAAACTACAAAATGTTTTAAAGTAGTATAATTATTTAGAATTTCAGATACTGTGGTAAGTGTTGCCATTATTTGGTTTCATTTTTTTCTCATATCAACGTTCAGTTTTCTTCGTAAGATAATTTACACAACTTTTGTTTTTCTTTTTACTCTTAAATGTTTGCCTTTCTAACTTTGTTGAATAGACATTACTTTCATGGCACTTCCGCCACATAAAATTCAGCATATCTTCAGTTTTTCGATTCAGAATTAAGGGTTGTCATGCATTTATTTAAAAATTATACAGGTGATAACATTATTTAGTGGCAATATCCCTTAGCTGGTACTCTGATGACAGTAAGAGCTGATCCTCTTTTATAGTTACTATTTCGAAAATAGCTCCAATAGTGAATATTTATTCTCTTCTATGTAGGTAGGCAACTAGTCATGGATCCGTACTAAGTAGTTTAGAACTCCAAATATCCGGCGTTTGAAGTACTTATTGCTACAAACGAAGTTTTACAGTACTGTAAGATTAGAGTATTTATTGAAATGTTTTTCGTGTAGCCTAAATCAGAATTTTCTATAGTCTGTTACTTTAAAACACAATACTTCAGTGCACCTACTAGACCTGTCTCAATTGCAATTGGAATCGAGTTGTCATAACCGCGCTGAAATTATTTTCTACACGTCATTTAAAACTGCACTTGAAGTCATCTTATATTCGCATAGTTCGGAAATGAAATGTAGGAAATAATTAGGCAAGGCTCTTTTTTCCCGCAGTTGTTAGTTCCATGGTTACGATTCAAATCGGGAGGAAGAAAATAACTTCGTATTATCTATTTTAAAGTAACATACCATAGACAGTTATAGAGACACTACTAAATATTTCTTCTAGACGGTGTTGGCTAAATACACTGTATCGGTAACTTTGTAATGCAAGGGAATTTTTTTTACTTATCGAGTTTTGCTTCATCAAAGATAATAGAGTTAAGGAAGAAAAGTAAAATATTTTCAGTTCTTTAAAACCGAATAAGAAACACGCATTTTTCTATGAAAACAAACAAAAAAAAAAAAAGTCTCATAAAACTTCAGTCCATATAATTGGAGTTCTGTTGTAATGGATGATGATCCCTCTTGATCCCTCACTTGGCCTACACTGGAATGCCCACTTAGAAAAGCTCACTAATTAAAATTAGGACGAATATCAGCAGTCATAACAAGGCGCAAATAATCGAGGGAAATATATCGCGCTGCAGCGTACCTAATTGAAAATGCTTAGAGCCACAAGGAGTTATTTTTTATGATATCATTAGGTTATTTTCATTTTAGAAAGCAAAATTCAAATTAGCATGTAAGAGGCATTGATTCTTTGAACAAATTAAGTCATATGAGAGCTTAGGGGATAATCTGTGAACTACATTATACGCATTCGTGAACAAATGTATTTATGCTTACGGCTTCCTTGCTTTCGTCTTTGAAATAGTGGCGTACGAAGTAGGAATTTAGAGGCACTTCCAAAGTATCATCTGTAAAAGAAATGCTACACTTTTTTGAGCGTGGCTCTTCTTTGCTTTCTGACGTCAAAAAGCCCTGTTCCACAGCCAGATTTCTCCATTCCTTCGATAAAAGGGGCAAAGATTCAAAAACAACTCTCCACATCATGTAATTAGCCATTGCCCTAAAAACATAGAACGAAACGGTGGAAAATTATATTAGAATTTTTTTCTTCTTTTTCTGTTACCCATATACATAGACAAAGAATTTATATTGGTGTTGTGCGTCCTCCTAAAAAACAAAACTACATATCTTCTAACAGGAAAATATTTACTCACTTAACATAAGTTTACAAGAAAAGGAAGTATTTGAAACTCTATATGAAAAATTGTAAAAGAAATTGAAGCCTGGAAAATTTTAATGGATTCTTTAATAAGTGAAATTGCTTATGAAGTATTAAATGGTATACTGCAGCGTTTCTGTTAACTGAGCACTTCGTGCAGCAAGAAAAGAATTGAAATATCTCATTTTTTCTTATTTTATTTAGTTCATTCATGGTATTTGTCGCTATGATCGAAAGATTGTCATCTGTTTTAAACCACTCTCTGATACGATCGTGAGTTCAGATTTTGTACACATAACATTTTTTGGAATGAAAATACAAAGTGGCGAAACGAGGGTTTCAAAATTCGATTTAGATTTAATGTTTAAACGATTTGTAAGACATATTTCTGTTTAATGAACAAACTAAAAATTCGAAAACTTTACTGTTTGCATCTTCGAATAGAGCAGAACAAAATTTTATATAAAATTTGTGCGAAATTTTAATATAATTTTTAATTTTTGGCGAATTTTCTAAAATCGCTCTTTTTGTTCGACTATTTGAGCACCGTGGTTTTAAAATTTTATTGAAGCTACAAAGTGTAGAATTTTTTAAAGACTATAAAAAAATTCTTTGCTCGTCTTTTTAAAAAAAGAATGATAAAGCAGTATAAATTAGGTGATTTTTGATATTTTTTAAAATAATATGGTACAACAGGAAGCAGAAGAGGAAATAACCATTCTTCAGTTTTAAGGTTTGATCTCATTATGCCTCCCTATTTTTTTGCTTCAATATCTCAAATATAAAAGGACTGATTAGATTATTGGAACTATTTGCATTAAATCTACTACTTCATGTTTACTGTTTCAGTTTCCTAAGTTTATATATATATACGTAATATTTTATTCTTTTATAGGGCATTCATACTCTAACATCCAAACAAATATTTGTTATAAAGATGTGAAATTTTCATACGTTAAAAAAGAAATTTTGCCATCCATTTAAATGTTCCGTATAAACTAATGAACTGAAATTTCGCATACACTTTCATTGTGGATGATAACTAAACGTGGTAGAGCTAGTTTTCTAAAATTAGTTTTAGAGTATTAAAACTTCACGTTGAAACGATTTTTCGCACATATCTTTGTTTAATGAAAAAATTAAAATTCTCAGATTTTTTTTATTTTTGCAGCAACGGATAGAGAAGAAAAAAATATTAATTTTGTGAGATTTTAAAGTAAGTTCTTATTTTTACGCAAAATCGCCGTTTTTTTAAACCTTTTAGTACAATAGAATTGTTGGAAGTAAGAGTGACATTTGTTTTGTTTAAAAAAGATTTTTCAATTAAATAAATTGATTCATAACATGGCAGGGAGATTAAAAAATGGGAATAAAAAAAGGCTGCTATTCTCGTCAAATTTTTATAAATCGCAATACCACTAGCTTGGCTAAATTGAATAGAATACAAGTAACATCATCTGAGCATTTCATTATCTGCAGTTTTATCCTGTTCACCAACACTCTCCTACTTCTCCGTAAATAAGCTGATGTTTTTAACTAAATCTCACTTCTTTTTTCTTCTCTGTTCTCAGCCATTTTATGTTAAAGGGTTCAGCTTTAGATGTTTTCACTTTCATAGCCGTAACAGAATAAAAATGCTCCATAGTTTACCCTATTATGATATAATAGCATCAAAGTATCTGCATAGTTTTACAATTTTTATGCATTGTGTAGCTTCCTCGAAGAGAAACGAAAAGCTAGACATTACAATATGGTCATACCGCGTTTCTTGCATCCTTCTAAGATCTAGTAGTGTGCAGGAAGAAGATTCAATTTCTTTCCATGTTTTTGGAGGAAGAAAGTCCAATTTCTTTGCAGTTTGTTCCAATTTCTTTCCAGTTATATTCTTTAATTTTTGTCCCAAGAAAAAAATTCTAGCGTTTGCTTTTTTCTCCTTTATCTTGCTGCAATATTTGACACAATATTTTTAGTTAAAATCCACTTATCCTTTAAAGCAGGACATACAATATTTACTTCTGACCTATCTGAATTGTGCGTTCTCTCCCATACTTGAACTAAATCTTTTAGTTTCATTCTTAATTGAGAAACTGGGAATTTTTTATTATAATAATCTTTCCTTTTCCTCTAAGGAATAAAATAAATGCTTCAGTTTTGTCTAATAAGATGAAAAAGAATGGAGAGATTGTTTAAAAGAAGTAGAGATTAAAGGTGGAAACTCATCTGTCTGAATCCTATGTGGTTTGAGTTCTTTCTTCTGCCTTGAACCTAATGTTGAAATTTCTTCTTAAAACATTTTTTAGTTTCCTGATCAATTGCCCCGACAGCAAATTTCTGAATGCTTTTGATAAATTAAAATTATTCGGTTTCAGATATTCTTATCTCACAACAGTAAGTTTAATGATAGTTGCAATTAATATTACGAAATATCATTAATTATCCTGGGGCCTTTTACAAAAACATTTTTAATAAAGCGATATTTCATCTGTTAGTTTATTTAATATTTTTTGACCTGAAACAACATTGGAACTGTTTTCTAATATTGGTATTTTTTATGAAAGCATACAGTAACTAAACTCGGAGTTTCTCGTTTAGATTTTGTTAAGAGTTTTTGCTGATGGCCATTAGTAAGTCCACATCGGTAGATATAACATTTTCATTAAATGATTTGAGGCACGAAACATGAAACACGTAATCCTGTCGCAGGGATTTCGTAAATTTTAAATCAAAGCTGATGAATAATTTTTTTTTCCGATTTTAGAAACATTATTAAAAGCAGTAGATGCAACTGTGTCAAGCGGAATAACTAGTGAAATATAATACGAGTGAGCTTGCTAGTGGCGGGTGGTAAGCACATGGTTTGTGCATGTTGTCTGAATTCTTGAACCCAGACGGCATGTGTAACATCATACGCTCATAAAGCACATTTAAAATTAAAAATTGATATTTTGCGTATCTGAGCTGTAGAATATACATATTTCAACTTTGCAATAAATGGAATAATGACGAAATGTTTAGGAAAATTTCTGCAACAGAGATGAAATCGTATCTGAAATAACTTCTGCGCATTTAATATAATTAGTAAACAGGAACTTTTCCATATATAAGAGGTCTAAATTTCCAAAAAACAGTTTTTTCATACCTTACTAACGTAATAACATAATGAAACCAATTTGTTTGGAAAACTTCATTAAAAGTGCATTTTCACTTTTTTGACATTATAAGGTTGCATTCAAAATTTTCTAATAAAACTTAATTTTTAAGACAATGCTCAATATAAATCAAACTGAGCTGAATAAGAAAGCCCTCATTACCTTAGAAGAAATAAGTAAAAATGTTACAACAGTAAAACATAACGGACACCGGATACTGTGTCATTCCTTAACTGAGACTGGTAATTACTGCCATAGATATTACTGAAGCAGTATAAAAATACAATTTCCTGCTAGGTATTATAAAATGATGTATGATAAATACCGACGAATTTATCTTACTTCGTATCTGCTTCTTTGAGGAAATTGGCAAAGTTGTTGATGAATTTTGGAGCCATAATAAGCAAAGGATCATTTTCGTTGATTTCTTGATTCAATAATCGACTGAAAAAATCAAGCCAATCAATCTATAAAAAGGAAAACGAAATTGCTTCTTATCTCTTTTCGCGAACAGGAAAGTTTCAAACATATTTCTAAAAAAATTCGTAAAAATATAAAACTTAAAAATTTAATTCAGAAAAAAAAAACTATAATTACTACTAAGAAATCCGATATATATTGAAGAAGAATGGACAAGAGAAAGTTTTATTTACTGCTAATATTCATCAGAGAAATTTTGTTTCCCTTTCTTGTATACTTACCAGACTTACGCAACTTGAATGCAATAAAAACGGTTCCGAAAAACTGGTCTTTGTCAGAAGCAAGTGGAACAGCAGGCTTGTATTCGTAACCTTGGAAGGGGGCGAATTTGTTTTTAAGCAACAGAAATATTTTAAGACGTTGCAGAGAAAATTGTGGTGGAAGCTTTGTTTTTCATAGGTCAAATAATCAAGTTAATCCGTTTCTGTACAATGAATTTTTGAGAAATCTTTCCTTATACTTCTGGAAAGAAAACCTTTCTAGGAAAAGTTTTGTATTGCGTTTCTCATCTTTATGTTTGAGAAAGATATTATTGAACGTTCAGTAGCATTTTCTTATTAGAAAAGAATTTGCGAAGGTATTTTTAAGATGAACAATTTTATAATATATGTATATATATAACAATTTATATATATATATGAATATACAGTACAAAATCTGAGATCCAGAGTCGTCGGGATTTTTCCGGATATTAGATCATCAGTTTAAATCAAGTAAGGTGGCATGTAAAAATTATAAAATTAAAAATATAAAATCGTGATTTAAAAACCAGTGAAGCAATTGGGAGTTAAAGGGTAACAAAATGTACGCAAAAAGGGCAAAATTTATTTGTTTACTTTATTAAACATTTCTTTGAATGTAACTTGTTTAAGTTGCTTCGTTTTTTTGTGCTAATACTTTCTCATCAGTTCTATAAACAGATATAATTTCTTGATCAGTTATAGAGTTCCACTATTCAAATCCTGTAGTTGCTGAGTCGAGAATTCCGACTATTTTGAAAATCTATTTTTTTTTCAATAAACTCTCTGTCACTTTCTTCACGGTATTTTCTGGAGCTAGAACCTTACTACAGATTTCGACGTTCGTTAATTGATTGATGATTGGAGCATTATCATCGCAATCAAAAATTTCTGTTATATCATCTTCATTTATTACCGCTTCTCCACATTTCTTTACAAAAATCCATTAATTGGAAAATTTCACCTGTAGCTTGTGATATCCGAAAAGCCTTCATATTCGAGGCTATCACCTTCATCATCCTCCCCATGAAATATGGTAGCTGGCCATAAATTATGCCAAGCATTTTTTAAAGTATCTGGAGCCACATCTCCCACGACCTTGCGATGCTCCACACAGCAGGTTTTATGCTAAAGTATTTAAACATTTCTTCAATAGTGTTGCGATTATCCAGAAATTTAACATGGATTTTAAAAATGCTATTTTATATTTGCATTTCAGCACGCGCACTGTTTCAATATCCGTAGTCTGAATGATGGACGTACAATTTGGAGGAAATAATAATACGGACACATTATCTTTCATTAAAACTTTAAGTGAAATATGAACCGAACCGTTATCTATAATCAGGACAATTTTTTCGTCATCACGTAAACTAACCGAATTCATATTTTGCCGAGCTTCGGGTTTGAAATAAGTTTCAAACCTATCATACATTAACGCTTGCGTCATCCGTGCTCTCTTATTTGCATGATATATAACGAGGAAACCTTTACTCCTTTAAATGCTCGAGGTTGTGTATTTTTTCGATTACGAAAGGTTTACACTTGTGCTTTCCTGCTGCTTTTGTGCCTGCAAAAAATTTTGGTCTAGCTTGGAAATCTTTGAAACGTTGGAGCCTTTTCTGTAGAGTTTGCCAAGATATTTCGCGGTACATATTGCCAAAAATGATCAGTTTCATCAGCGTTGTAAATTTGCCCTAGAGATACCGTTTCACTATTAATGAGTTCTATGAATTCATCTGCAAATAATTCAACAGCTTCAGTATCAGCTGAAATTTCTTCACCTGAAATTTTTAATTGGTTATATATTGCGATTTTTAAATCTGGTTAAACAACCTGTCGAATATGTGCGCTCAGTTTTTAAGCTCATTTCTTCATTTAATATTTTGATTTCTCCCATTAGCATTGAACCCGTCTATGGCACGCCCCTCGCTGCAAGACTGTCTGACCAATTCAATTATCATTTTGTCATGACTGTCAATTTTAGCATAGCGAAGAATTTTTTGTTATTCATTGCGAATGGGGTGTCAAACTCCACAAAAAATTCATAAAGTTCCTTTTTCTGTTATGTCATATGCAGTTGACTTTCCAATGTCATACTTCTCGCATAATTTTGAGACAGATATACCTATATTCAATTTTTAAAGCAATTCCATTTTTTGTTTATTGGACATCGAAACATACTTTCGCTTTGTAGATCCTATTGCAGCTCCAGAATTAGAAACTGTTTTCGACGTAATCGAATTCCAACTTTAGTTTTCATAAAATTGCTGTAATTATAACAGCCGGCAAAAAATCATAAGCTACATCAAATCAGAAAGATAAAGAACAGCGCAGTCTGATATATTAACTAAAATTGTTTGGCATTAGTAAAGTATAATTTTAATCTAGCTTAGGAGCGTCTGCTATAGATTTTTGGTTATGTGGCATGAGACTAGCGACGAAAGACAAAATGTCCCTTAAATTTTGTTTTACTTCTATCGCGCACTGAGACAATTAAGCCTGAATAGTATTAATCTATTAATTTATTATACTTACGTCTGATCATTGCACATGCTTAAGGCTCATCTGAGTCTTGAATAAGTAAATTCCCACAAAAGCTTACTGAGGACAGGCGCTAGATATTTTGTCGCCTGATGCAGTCTCTGCGGGTTCTAAATTTTGCCACCCAGCCCTTCCCAAGCTCTAAATTTTTGCCAACCCTGAATTTTAGGTCGCAGTGCTTTCTCAAAATTATCAAAATTTTAGCATCCCTTAATTTTGTTGCTCGGTGCTTCTCTAAATGATAGAAATTTTGTCTTCCCTAAATTCTGCTGGCCAGTGTGGCCATACGAGCTCTGTCGCCGGTTCTGGGTTTTAGTGAATAAAAAAATCAGTTATTCTTAATTCAAATAGCACTAAATGTGATCTTTTGGTTTATGGGTATCATTAAAGAAATCTATTTTTAGCATATGCAAAGACATTTAACTTAAATCTGTAATCATCGCCAAGCGTAATGCCAACATTAAATTTTTCCATATTCCTTGTTATTCAATTGCTAATATTAACAAAAATTAGGCATATCACTACATGAGTCATTACTCAAGTTGTCATGCGTTGATAAACATACGGTGATGAGAGCAAAATATAATAAATAATGATTCGCCAGGTTGGCGTCATTGATTAAAATATTAATAGTTGTAAAATCAACAATGTTTCTACGTAGAATGTTTCGATTTTAGATGTATGCCAAGCACATACGCAACCAAATTTTTTATCACACAAATTTATGCTAAAATGATTGTTCTTCAATAATGAGGTACTTTATTTAGTGCCGAAGGGAAATTAAAATTTTGAATTCTCCACATGTTTTCTTACGGGGATAAAATGAAATGCACATGCGTAAAGCATAAAAAAAATTCCTAAAAAAATTTGTTGGTGGCTTTAAGGTCTGGATTTTAGATCATTCTGGATATTGCACGTCCGAATATCGGACATTGTACTGTGTATATATATATCAAAGATTGAATTAATTAATTTAAATTCATTGAAATCGTAATAAATGTCTTAATACTTGCGCAATAGCTGCGAAGTAAGATAACACTAATTTATTTGCTAAAGTGATATTGATTATATTAACTCCTAATATGAAGTTAGTAGAATGTATCTGAATGAAGTAACCCAGAAGCATTGAAATTTAATCTGGAAAATAATACTTTTAAAGGAACTTGAATTTAAAGCAAGAAAAATAGAAATGGAAACTTTTAAAACGAAAATTAATAAAACAAGTAATTATCGTCATTGATCGGTAATTGGCTGATGTTTCAATGAGAACCCCCGTTTAATTAACAATAATTAATAAATGCGAAGATGTTTCGTCTTATACTCAAGTAAGAAGTATGATGCCAAACTGGCAATTTGAGTTAAAGCCAAACTTTTAAGTCGAGTTTTAATCCAATTAGTGAGATTAAAGTGAGATGAATTAAAGTTAAGTACTATGAAGAATTCATTTTGAATGTAGCAGTTCCGTTAAGTTAATAAATGTTTTTGAAATATCGAGATATTATTGCCAAATTGAAAAGGAGTAAATAAATTTCTCTGCTGGATAAACTAGTAGTAAATTTTTTTTTATCGTTTACTTAAGTGTCCCCCAACACCCTCGCTTCCATGTTAATTCAAAGTTATTTTTAAAAACATAATAAACATAATTCAATCTTTGCTATATTTATGAAATAAAATTCAAAGTAAACGTTGTAAACATAATAAACATAACAAACAATGAAATCTTTGCAAAATTAATGAAATATAAGCTGAAAAATTGAAAGTTACTTATAGAAAAATGTACGAGGAAATGTACAAATTTAAATGTACGTAATACACATGAAAGGCCAGAATATGAATTAATTACGTTCTTTCTAATGACGGTGAAGTGTTCGTGTCTGTTTTCTTACTCAGAAGGAGTGTGGTATGCAATCCGAGATGTAGAGAGGAAGCAGTGGGGAACCTTTGAATTATTACAGTCGTTAACCTTTGAGAAGCTATTTTTGGAATGTGGCTAGAGAGCTCTTTTGCAAGTATAAATGCGTCGGGATATTATATATTATTGGTTATATTAGACTGACTAGTGAAATTAATTAATTTTGTGGCTAACCTGTTGGCTAACGAGGAAAGAAATCTTAGTTTTGGAAAAAACGTAAATCAAACGAATCAAAGTTTTTCAAACGTTTAAAAAGAAGCGTTAAACATGATACAATTATGGACGTAGATCCTCAGCGACAGCAGAAACTCGGCGACAGGCAAGCCTTGTATGCATTTTTTCAATAATATAATTTTCTAATATGACTACGGAGGGGACGTATAAATGCTAAAAGGGTGTAATATTCACAAAATTAATTCTTAATTAAATCTGATTATAATATAATAATGTTGAAAATCCTAAAACATTTCTATTTTATAAATATTTTCCAATAAATTTTACAATCATTTTTACATTAATCACATTTTTCATTTAATTTACCTAACACATGTAGGGTAACTCCTCCCGTGCTGCTTCGGAAAATCAGACTTTTTAACTAAAGGGGGTCGAATTAATAATTTTAATTTTTAACATATTGTTGCTCTGCTGTTGCAGTTTGGATAACTACGTATTCCTCTCTTGGCGGGGGGGGGCAGGGGGGGGAGGAGGGTGGGTGGGATCAGAGGGGGGGGGGGGGGGGGGGGGGGGGGGGGCCTAGGCTAATTTATGAGGGGAATGCGTAATTTTGTAGTGTTTGCTCTACTTTCCTTTAGCTTGTAAGACGTGGACTGATAAAGGCAACAATTATTATAATTAATGTCTTTGAATTCAAGAAATTAATTGAAGTATTCAACTCTACTTTTTAATTTACGTTGGAATGAGTTCAGAAACAGGGGGATGTATTTACTTCTTTCATGGCACCAACGACAAAAGATGTAAATTACTTTTACCTTCTAATATTACTATTTCCATTTTTGATTTTAACTATCTTAGCACTCATTCATGTAACTAATCCCTGCGCTCCTTGGTGGTATTATAGTTGGTTCCGGACTGAATATGGGATTTAAATGTCTTAATTCTATATATAATAAATAAGTAGATAAAAATATATATCCTAGTTAAAATACTAAATGTAACTGGCATCATCCCTGAATTCTAAATTTTAATTTGGCTATATTCCCACTGAAAATAAAAGAATCAATATTAAAACTTTTAACAGAATTTCTTTCACGTAAGCTCAACTTTCTTCTGGTCTTCGATAAAATCCTACTCTTGTTTGTTTACTGTTAAGATCTCCCCCTTTTCCTTTCTTTTTAATCAAATATATTATCAGGAAATGCAGAATACACAGAGATGCGAAAACAAACACGGGCGCGCAGACTGAGCCCTCTGCCATTCAGAAACAGAATATGCTGGTCGATTTGTTTACGTAGAGGGGGGGTAGGAAGGGATAACCAAGGGTCAAACAGTGAGGAAGGATAGAAAGGTTTACATTTGAGGGCGTCCAGCTTTTATAGGGATTTCCGACGGACGCAAAGAAACCTAGTAACAGGGGGATAGGGAGAGGAATTACTTTTTAAGAAATGCACCATTTTTTGTCAAAGGGTGGGGGGACGGAAAGATAGGAAAAAATGAAAAAGCAAAGGGAGGGGGAATTTAGGGACAAAATGTGTAAGGACGGCGGGGAAAAGAAGCCAGTAAAGGTTAAGGTGCGTTTGCAAGGAACCTCAAGGGTTTTCGAGTGAAAGAAACAGGAAGAAGGAAAAGCAAAAAAAGAACGTCCCTAGCGAAAAGAATACGTTGGAGTCTAAAATAGTGGGAAGAAGGGCTTTAAAGGTAAGAGGACAGTAATGACCGTTAGCTAGTTGTTGCCATTAAATGATTTACAAGTCAAAAAATTATTAAATCGTTGCTTTATTTTAAAGCCCACGGCCATCTGTACAGGGGATAGGGGCGGCATAAGCACGTATTGAGGGGCTGTCCGGAGTGAAAATTGAATAAAGTTTGCTACAGGAAGGAGAGTGCGCCAAAGGACGCCACCCACTCGGCGGGAAAAGAGGATTTCAGTGGTTAGATTTTAAATGCGGTCACCAAGTCAGGTAAAAAGTAAAACACCTCACTCCTTACATGAGTTGCAGGTTAGAAAGAAAGAGTATAATTTTCATTCCAGTAGTTTGGTTCGGCACCAAGGCAGTTAAAAAGTTAAACACGTTAATTTTCTGCATTCGTAACATTATAAAAATGCTGTTATATAATTAATATATAAGACGCGTTTTAGAATTTATGTCTGTATGAAAAATAATTAAATTTACATACTCTGTATGACACATATTTTAGAGATAAAACACATTTAATTCAGAATTTATTAAATTTATACAGAAGGTTTTGAAATAATACTACGAAAGGCACAACCGTATGTAATATGGCATTAAATTCGTATGTGATCATTCATAAAAATAGTAATCACGAGGTTTTTAACAGACAGAGAAAATAATCAGTAAATTTTGTCCTGGAATTAATGAATTAAATAGACAAATATTTTGTTCTTACATTAGCCAGTTTCCTTTCAAACTCGAGAGCTTCAGAGAGCTCTCTTTCCGAGGTACTTTCATTTGCACCCAATTTATTAGCTGTTTTCACCATCAGTTTCAAGTATTGGTTAGTGGAAAGGTCTATTGTTCCACGCATCAGATTTAATCTGCCTATTCCTAATGATGGCTCATTTAACTATAAAAGAAAACAAAACCGGTTTTAGATGATATGGATTAGAAAAAAGTTTCAGCAAAATTTTATTCTTATGAAAATATATGGGAGGGAGAAAAATAATGAAAAAATATATATACTTTCATATGGAGCTTTTATTTATTTATTTGCAAATGAAAATTGCATTTTCTTTTTTCGTCTTGCCTACTTTACCCAAAAATTCTTTATCCTGATTTCCAACATCCTACACCAATAAAGGGGAAATATTTGAATTTCGATCAGCATTAACACTATGAAATGATATTTTTCCTTACCAATACAGATCATGTGATTATCTGAAGCATCAGAGGATTTCATTTCACTTTTTGTTCTGATTATGGTTAATTTGCATGTACAGGGGTTTGGTAAAAAACCTGTATCCTGTATATGGGGCAGACACCTGCAGGACAACGCAATCCATATAGCATAATACAACTTTTTGTTCCACTTTACTACTTATCTGAGATGTTATATTCATGACATTATCCTTTGCATAATTTAATAGCTTTTCCTTTATTGCGGAGCTGAATTTATACCTTTGAAGAACATCAAATTCTGCACAAACATGATATATTCAAAATTACACAAATTTAGTTTGATCTCATTGAATTTCATTTTAGACTAAATTTTGATTCCATTGAATTCCGATATGGTAATTGTGATAGCATTAAAATTAAATTCACGCGTTTATGTTATATCTTTATAACTGTCGGTGGGTGTCGGAACATTTGAATTTCTTAAGATTGCTGTAATTTTCAATGAATATTGCTCAAATAAAGTGGGAATGCATAATAAACTGAAGATTGTGGAATAGACCTGACTAACAGAAAATTAAATTTGGTTTAGTAATTGAGGATTTGTCGGTTATTTGGACCTGAAAATCCTTTATCGGTTTCATAAGGGTACTGAACTAAACCTTAGTGAAGCGATTTTCTATATTCTATGAATTCACTGGAATGGGTGTATAAAATATTTGAAAACACTACAATCTTACAGAAAAGACTACGATAAAATCACATGAATATTTATCTCACTGAAGAGTATTATTTTTCAGTTATCTTCAATGTCGCTGGAATATCACAGAATAGGAAAACTCTTTTAGTGAGTAAAGAGGATTTTTATCAATATTTACCTTTCGCAGCCAACTCAAAAAAGCATAAATTTATGTATGGAATTGATACGGCATGTCCGGCATGGAAAAGTATAATATATGCTGATTTCGAAGGTTGCGGTCTGTGGTGCACAATATCTAGAGTTGGTGCAATAGCTAACGTCTTGTTCACAGGAAATTCTAAGTGTATTATATGTGGGTTATATTTGACTGTTAAAGATTTTACTTTGAGAAGTTTGTAAGTGTATGCTGCGTAAAACATTTTCAAATTTATTCACTATAAGTACTAGCTCAAATAAATATCTAAAATTTTAGTAAAACAAAGGGCGCATAGCGCGCTAGAAGAGACATGATTATGCACAGCATTCGCTGTGATTATGCACAACATGAGACATGATTTATCAAAGAACTCACAGTTATTTTTTTTCAAAAATATTCTAATCCAGTCTGCCTTTTATGTCGTCTATTGAGTTAATTCAAAACGTAGAAATTCAAATTAAAGCCACATTGGGCGTTACGATTACGAGTCTATGAGTCGTAATCGTAACAGTAGTAGTTCGACCCCAGTTCAGATTCTGGTAAAGGAGATGGCTAAATAGATTTTTCTATTCTTTAATAATTGTAAATTGAATATTAGCAAGTTTTCCTCACATAAATCTCCACAAAGGTTTCCTACCTCTAAAATCTCCTCCTCTCATTTAGGACGGAATCATTTCATTTTCATAAAATATGAGAACAATTTTAGGTTCTGAGCTTGATATAAGTGGGAGAGATCGATTTAAATTCACTCCGGCAGGGAAGGAAAAGTTAGAGTAGTAAATGTTCTTGAAATCGTGATAATATTATCGAGAGAACAATATCGCTGCCTTATACCAATTTAAACAAAAATTTAAACTACCTACTACAAGACAGCTTTATATGTTTTACTGTGAAAACAACTAACGTTAAGACTCAATTAAGTCTGTAAGAATCGTTTCTATTAAGAATTAAGAAGCGTGATCCCTGCAAAATCATTTGGATCTCCGAATAGTTTAAATGTTTCTTTTGAATGGCGGTCACTAGCCATTTCAGGCTTTGGTCACTACTAAAGCTAGAAGCTGTAGTCATTTTATTATGAAGGCGTTTAATAGGCGGTCACTGGTACCTCTTATGAAGAGACAACTCGGAGTGACAGGGCGGCTCCCGTCCTAGCTAAGTGGCCTTTCGGAAATGAGTACCGCTCCGCACTTCTTACAATCTACCATGTTGCGACCCCACAGAGCAAGGGCAGAACAAGGCAGTACCATTACGGTCTCTGCCGAGCCTTACTCTGTCCCGAGAGCCCTCAGGCCGTCTGTGATGTCTGATATTAGACCTCCGTGGTTGATCTGCGCAGGTTGTCTGCCATGTGGTGTTTTGAAGTGTGATTCTTAAATTGCTCATTTTCCAGTGTGTTTTGATTTTTACTTGGTGAAAGTGCTCTTACATGATTGCTTACGAGTTCCGGTTTATGGAAAAGTGCTACTTTGTGCATGATGTTGGATTTCTACAAGATTTGAAGAAGTTTAAAATTTCAAATCCACGTAGCAGCTCATTTGCATACGGGAGTGCTGTTTTCGGTCACTTTGGTATTAAGAGTCCGTGCAAATGGTATTTTTTTACCGTGCTTTTGATCTAAATGCTTGATTTTATGCTTGTACAAGTTTATGTTAAATTCTGGCTGCTATTTTAAAACTTTTGGATACTCTTAGTTACATGTTTCGAAGATAGGCTTAGCGTGGCTGCCAAGTGTTTATATTTTTAGATCTTTTGTTTTGCACTTGTAACTTGTAATTTTAGACCTTTTGCCAGGTGATTAAAATTTTTTTAATTATCTTATTACTAGAAGTAACTGCCCAACATTTGATGTTTCGAAGTATTGAGGAATTGTTTTAAGAAGTCTCATTGCAAGTTATTTGAATTATATTTAAAAAAAAAGTTTTTTGGTGCTTCATCAACTGAAGACTTTCCGCCCGTTGGGGAAGAAGTAAACAATTTTTGGTGCAGTAAAATCTAATTTTCCTGCCCGTTGGGTTACTTTTTGAATTCTTGCGCTACTACTCTAGTTTTTGCTTTAAAAATTATATTATCATTTATGCTGTAGGATTTTACTGTCTGTTTGAGTGTTTTGTATTATAGAAAGTTTTTATTCAGTTTTAAGATATTGAATTCATGAAATTTTGATTTTATAATATAGTCCCCTTATCGTAGTGCTTTACCAAGATTTAAGAAGTGTAAAATATGTCTCTATTAACGACAAAAGATAGTCTTAGTCAAAGTTATAGAGAACCTGAACAAGATGTTGGAAAGTCCGATATTTTAGGAGTAATTCAGGGTCTTTTCGACACTATTGAAACTATGAGAGATAAACGAATTGCCAAGAATATCATACATGATTTATCTTCTGGCCTGACATTTATTACTAAATGGATAGAGAGATGTTCTACAAATGAAATTGACTTTGAGAATTCCAGAAGGAGAGATTAAGGAATGAGCCAGGTCTTAGAAGAGATTAGAGAGATTAAGAACATGATTTCAATAAGAAATGCTGAGGGAGCAGCTGGTGAGTGTAAGATGGAGGAGGAGGAAGTAAGAGTAATTGCAGAAAAAGAGAATAAAGATATAGAAAAAAAAATATTAAAAGGGATAGAAGAAAAGATAACGAAATTTTACTTAGACCAATTGATAAACAGATTGATATTTACGATGAAATAACCCATCAGCTGGATCCTGGTAGATTGGGTATTGGAGTGGTCAATTCGTTTACTCGAAAGAACGGAGATGTAATCGTAAAATTAAAGGATAAGTACGAGGTTGCTATTCTGGAGAAGGCTATTCTAAAAGAAGAGAAATTGAAAACTATTGTAAGGCCCAGAAAATACAAATTTATTAAACCTAAGATCATTTTATATAATGTGGGAGATCATGTTGAGGATGGAGATATTATGAAGAAATTGAAAGAAAGAAGAATGTCATTGTTCTGGAGAATGTGCCAGAGCGCTGTTTCGAATTCCTGCAGAGGAGAAAGGTGTTACTCACCGTATTTATGTTATGTTTTCCTCAGATTGCCAAAGCACAGTTCTCGAAGAAGAGAGACTGGCACTCGGTTGGAAATCTTACGCCGCGCGTCTCTACCTGAACCCTAAGAGATGCTCTAAATGCCTACGTTTTGGGCATACTAGAAAAAATTGCAAATTTGAATTACGTTGTTCAACTTGCTCTCTTAATCATGAGAAAAAAGACTGTAAAAATGACAATCTTGGTTGCGGTAATTGTTTAGAGTATAACGAGAGATACGGTACTAACTATGATTGTGCTCACGATTCCTTTTCACGCTCTTGTCCGGTTTATAAAGAAGAAGTTAGATTTTTAAAAGATCACCTTGACATTTGATCTCTGTTTTATTGAACAGTTGCACTGCGATGGGGACTTAAATATTGTAATTTTTTATTTTTGTTTATTTTGTCTGAATACTGTTCCTGCTCAAGATTTTTCTAGAAAGATTGAATGCTCTGATTCCCTCCCGGTTGCGAGTAACTACATTTTGTATATAGCTGTTTTTACTTGTATATAGAAATTTTAATTTTGAATTGGAGTTTTAACTGTATATAGAGATTTGGATATTAGCTAATGAATTTTATTGTAAACTGTTTTATTTTGATCTATATCATCTTAAATTATATTGATTTTACTATGAAGATCTTAAACATTAACCTCAATCATTGTGCTGTTGCATCTGCCCAGCTTACATGTTTAGAAAAGATTATACAATACATGCCTGATATCCTGACTTTGCAGGAGCCTTATTATATTGGGGACAACCTGGCATATCAGAAAAATGAATGGAGATCAGTGA